CCTCCAACACATGCGCTTCGAAGACGATGCAAAGGAAAATCCATAAAAACTGCTCGGCGCCGAGCGTCAGCAACAGCTTGCTGTATAACGGCAAACGGCGGTGCTCCGGCACGTCCAAAAGTATGTCGGAGAACACTTTCAGCACCGGTATGACCAGCTCCACGGTGCTCGTGTTATCCACAGCATCGTCGGCATGCCGTGAACGCACCAAAATCGGCACGATCGATTCGATCACATTGTTGATGATGTGAAAGCTGAAGGCATCATCGTGACGCACCACCGACGAGCCCATAAATGTGAAGACATCCACCACGCTATGCAGCACCTGGTGCGGAAAGAGCGCCGCACAATGTGACAACAACAGCAAAGCGTTATTTTGCGTTTGCGGATTTTGCGCGCCGCGCACACACTGCACAATCAAATCAATGCGGAATGTGGACTTGGGCAACACTTTCGCCAATTGTACGCCGGACGCTTGCGCCAGCTGACAACAATGCAGCAGCATAGATAGCGTCAGCTGTTTGGTGTACTCCACCACAGCTTGCTCCTCCAATTCCAAACAGAAGCGCAGCAAATCGAAGAGCGCGGGCAACAGCTGCTCGGCTTCTTCCAACTTCTTCTTGTGCTCGAGCAGTTCCAACAAAGCGACGCCCTGCTTCCACGCCTTGGTGGTGACTTGCGTTGTGAGTTGGTTTTGTGCTTGCGCATCGCGTTTGGTTGCCGATGTGGCCGTTGACTTACGCTTGGCCGCCGCGCCAGCACTCGCCTCATTGTTTTCGACAATGCGCGACATTTGCGCCAACAATTCCACCAATGGCGCGCAGTTGATGCTGCAACGCTTCAACAATTTGTTGGCGCTTAAGAAGACGGCATCGGTCTCGGTGGCGGCCATCGTTTGCACAATCAATTTGATCAAGTCGGTTTTGTAATTTTGCGGTATCTGCTCGTAGCAGTACTCGTCGAGCGCCTCGAGCAGCACACACGGCACCGCGCGCAATTTGCCACCATGTTGTATGTATACATTGTGCGCGCCGAATAGCTGCACGATGAATTGCCAAGCGGCTGGTTGATCCAACAGCACCGTACCGATGGTTTGATGCTCAAAGCGATCGCATATCAATTGCAATATGTTGCTGTAGGGTTGCGGCAAAAGCAATAAAGCGTTCTCAACGTGCGTCTGCTTGAGCGTGCGCGCACCYAGCGGTATCAAGTCGGCCAACAAACTGGCATCGTCTATATGCTTGAGCGTCTTTAGTATCTGCGCGGTGAATGCAGCATGTTTGAGCGCATCCGCGGCGGTGACCAGCTGCACAATTTCACGCAACACTTTCAAGCTTTGCGGCTGTTGCTTCTTATGCGTCGGCTTCAGTATGGTGTAGAGTATAAGTGGGAATTGCTCGTGATCCATGCTGAACTCATAGCTGCGCGCCAGTATGCTGTCAACAAAGTGTTGCAGCGGTGCGCTTAGTTGCGCGCACGCCTTTAGCACTTGTAGCGTTTCGAGCGCTTGCAAGCGCGTCGTCTCCGAGGGCGCATTCAAAGCGCTGGCTATGCGAAACACGTGTGAGGTGTTGATGTGCAACTTGTTATTTTTATTTTTGAATAGAGCATTGGTTAGCTTGAAGGCGCGCAAACGTAGCAGCGCATAGTCGACGCCGACTGCGGCATTGGTCTCGTATACATAGAAATTGCTGAGGAATTCCAACTTTTGTTGCGCGTTGTCGAAAATGTGGTCGAAAACTTCTTTCAGCGTACGCAACCATTCCGTTTGCTGTGCGGCCGCCTTGGTTTGTTGGAAACCCTCTTCGGCGAGTAGGTTGAAAATGTCGAAAAATGTGCGTAGATCATCGTGTATTTGCTCCCACTCAAAGAGATGCTCGAAATGTGTATGCTGCGCTAGCGAAACAATAAAATCTGAGAACAATTGTAACGGTATGCATTTCTCTTTTTCCACCATATCCCATTGTTTGCTTTCGAGTTGACGCACGCGAAAGCGTCGGTAGGTGGTGCGTATTTGTGTGAATACGTAACCAGCTTCGGTGCCAGTCAAATCGGTTTTCAAGCATGCAGTGGCCAACAATAAGAAATGTGAAAAATGTAAAGCGTTCTTGAAGATACGTTCGCCATGCTTCTCAGCGCTGCGGAAGAGACTCAAACCCGTCGGTGTTGCTGTTGTTTTGGAGATAACATCGAGAAATTGTTTTTTGAATTCCACTGCATTGAAGCTTTCACTATCACGCACTAGTTTCAGCTCTTGCAAGAAGCCAATCTTCGCGCTTAGCGGACTTTTGAGTATGCTAGTAATGGCCTGAAACGTATTGCTGCTACTGCTGTCTGGGAAGAGCAGCGGCATTAAAGCTAATAGTATTATGTTAGTGTCGTAAGCTTCCACAATCTCACGGCTTGTCAAATGCTGCACAGTCGCTGCTGTTAGTGGCGCCCAGTGCTCGGCATCTTGCTGCACTTTATTCAAAATGGCAATTAAAGCTTCGGCTACCTTATCAGCGTCTAAAACTTGCACAAATTCTGCAGTTGGCAGTTTCAAAATTTCTTTAACAACCAATTCACTGTCGTCAGCTATACGATCGGCGAGGCATTCGCGCAGTAAATGCATATTTTGTGGACGCGCGCTGTAATCGCGCAAATTTGCTAACAGTGTTTGTACGGCAAAGGCGCGTATTTTGGCTGTGTGGTGGTAGAGTTGTTCGTAGATATCTGTGGCGCTTGGATCAAACGTTTTCAAACGGAAACCTGTAAATTTCACACAAAATTATTCAATTGTAGTTAATAATAGGAATTTAAAGCATATGATAGTTACCTAAGGCCATTTTAAGCACACTGCGTTTGCTGGCGAATTCTTGTGAATTTGAGGTTAGACCCTCTTTTATAGTGTGATCGAATGCGACGGGATATTTTCGTTCGAGCTTACGCAAGTATTCAGAATACCAAGCATGGAAATTGCTATTATTATCTACCATTTCCTCGTCGTCGTCTGAACTGAGCTCAATCATTTCACCGTCCTGTAACGCTTTCTGCTGTGACAGTGGCTGCTCTTCGTATGCATTGAGAAAAGCACTAAAACAAAAAAAAATATACATATTTTTATGAGATGTGTGAAATTATACTATAATAGTAAATAAACATTTAAAAACAACTTAAAATCGCATACTTTATTATTTCCTGTGCCGAATCATCATTTAGCGCCACCTCATTTAATAAACGTTCCAGGAACGATTTTAAAGCTTCCGAATCTTTGTGTTCAGCTTGTATGGCGCTCAGCGCTTGTTGCAACAACGCTACATACAATGCATGCAAATATACATTGCCTTTAGCCAAGGCTGCCAAATACGCGATAAACCATTTTTGTGTTGCCAAATGCAATAAAGTATTTTCACTGAATTGCGGCTTAGCGCGATGCTGCTTATCGAACAGGAATACCAGAAATAAGACCGCTGTTTGACGTAAACGTTCCAAGGACACAGACGCAGCACGCTCCACCAAAGCATTACACAATTTCGGCGTTACCGGTGTACGCGCTACTAATTGGGTGGCCACAATATAAGAGGCCGCTGCGAAATCCAATACTTCAGATTGTAGACCCTTAAGTAGTGAAGGTAGTATAGTAATTATGTGCCACTCCTCTACTGCCGCCGCGTGCTCAAGTGCGCCAACCACAACGGAAGCATAAAAATTCAGTTGTGTTTGCAAGGAGTTTGCACGTGTGCCCAACTCTTTTACAGCGTCCAATGTTGTTTGACAAACGAATTTCAAGAAGGCTACATCGCTTGCCGCTCGATTGATTAGCACTGTTTTCGGCACAGGCACACCGGGTTTCTGCAATGGATGCAACCAATTCCATTCTTGATCGGCTTGTTTAATACGTATCACTTGTAATATTAATATGAAGGCATTCGTTTCATGATACGGCAAAGCTAGAGCTAGTAGCGCATTTCGATTATATTCTTGTATATGAAAACGACGTATTAACCATTCCAAACACATGAGCGTGGGGCGCAACAAGAAGTATGGCGACAAGTGTTGTAGGAATTTATTGATATTACGATCGAGTAGTTTATTAACATCTTTCTGCTCAACGGAACGTTCCAAATCAATAGTGGATTCATTGAAGAGGGTATTTTCAAAAGTCTGAAAAATAGGATTCAGTGCGGTGAGTTCCTGCAAACCAGCTAAACCTATCTCATATATGATACGCCGTGTTTTAGTGCCAGCTTCTTTGCGATCGAAAAGTACGGAAGCTTTCGAACGCGAATCAGCCAATGTCATAGTCTGCGGCACGGCCAGCCGCTGCAATTGCTGCTGCAGCGAGGTCGACATTTTTAACACTTTTTGCTATTTAATTAAATATTTATATAAAATTCACTGATTTGTATTTCTTCACTTATAAAATGTAGCAAAACACGCGGGACGTTAAAAATTGTGAGACCGTGTTGGCGCAATGTTGTTAACATTTGGATTGTAGTGGGAGAAAAATTGGACCGCCTAAAAATTATCCCTATATAGAACAAATTTTGTGAGTTATTATATTTGTAGAGTAAAGTGGAACAAATATGCTAATTGCTTCAAGAAGGAATCTTAATTTGTTCATAATGCTTTTATAATATACATTCCAAGTCAATTTTAACAGCATGAAGAAATTCCCTTTTGCAATAAAGAAACTGCATTGTTTGATGCTCAGCTGTTTCGCTGGCTGTGTTCAAGGCTTGTCATATGTGAAATATAAACAAAACACAGGGTGTTATATATGTTAGAAAAATTGACCTAATTTTTAATTGGCAAGCTCTTTTTAACAAAATCAGTATTTTTTTTTAACATTTTAATGTTTTATTACAAATAATTTTTATCCACGATTTTTCTATTTGGTAAATAATATTATTTAAAAATATTTTCTATCAGCGTACTTTAACTTTTGCCTACATTAAAAGTACGCTATGCAACTCTGAAAACATCATCTTCCGTTGTCATTTGTAAATACCGTTTATTGCGCTAATTTGCTTGAAAATTGCAAATGTCAAACAAAATTGTGGAAAATATAAAATATATTTGCGAAATGCTTTTATTACAGACAAAAAGTGTTAGTAAAGTTTTTTCAAATGGTTGTCTACAGCTATTACAATGAATATATGAATAAAGTGTAATATTCGTACAAACGCCTTGGGGTCCACAGTAGCAGACATAACCCTTTATATGCCCAAACACAAGTAAGTTCTTCATTTCACTTATAATTTACTTTTTATACCATAATATGCATTAACTTCATTATAATTTCGAACTAAATGACTTAATTATTAAATCTCACAAACAATCAAAATAAAATGCTTCTTTCATCCGCCATTGTTTACCAAAACTGCACCACAACAGGCGGTGTATGTGTGTCGCAGCCCAAACGCTGCCTATTTGTAAGCGCTAAGCGATTATAATACGACGGACATAAAGATAATCCGGTTTCGGTTTGAGTGTCATCAAATTAACAATCGCCCCAATAATTTATCATTTGCTCTCGAGTTTGATTCCTGCACTCTAGCCATGTTGGATCGCCTGCCATCCACAACAACTACAACCCATTTGTCTTGCTGCTGAAGGCTTTCTGCAAATCATGTCAGTACAGATTTCAAATTCATATCTGCCGTGGCAGCAGCTACCCTTGTGACGTGCGCTGGCCATGCATACATATAGCCGCACAAACTGTGAATGCCCATATGCAGTGTTCCGGAGATGGCAAAAAAGAAAAAGTCGCCCGGCTAATAGTTTTGTCAGCAGCTGTTTTGTTCCACAACTATAAGTGCGAATGTGTGTTTGTGTGTTTCTACTTTCTCGTGTTTATTGCCGCTGACATGTATCGTAGGCGAGTGAGGGTTTATTCTTGTGACTGGCAAAAGCACACAAGTCACACCTATTGCTGTGTGCACATTGTTGTTAGAAAAGAAAAATCAATGAACTCCTATGCTTCATGAATCAGATGGCAGGCTCAATTATTTGTTGCGGGGATTTGCGTTTCTTGCTTTATTATTCATATGCATGCATTACTTGTTGGCTGCTGCTACTACTGCGGTTGTTGTTGTTGATGTCAGTGTTATTAATGTGGTGGTCGGCAAATATTTTGGCAAATCGCTTTTGTCCTCTTGGCACATTAATAACTTATGAATATTGTCTTCCATCTACTGTCATCGATGAGATTACGAATCAGCGTTGGGAAGTGCATTTTTTCTCGCAAGAGGGGTGAGCGAGCGCTTTATTTTGATTTTTAATTAAATTTCTCAATAATACTGTACTAATGACTTGCAAATATAGTAAAATATGATATTGCGGTTTAGTGATTTTCTTTTGTCGCACTATTCGGGTCATTTGAGGGTCGCAACTTAACTGTAAATAAATTAATTTGTTGTTGAAAATTTTTCGAACGTACTTGTAAATACATTTGTGTATTTATTGGTAATTACAAATACATTTGTACATTTATTTGTATGAAACAACCTTTCTTAAAATCATAATATATATTTGTTAAAAGGAAAAAAGTTAACTTCTGTTGCACCCTGATTCATGTTTTTTTTTTTTTTTTTTTTTTTTTTTTTTTTTTTTTTTTTTTTTTTTTTTTTTTTTTTTTTTTTTTTTTTTTTTTTTTTTTTTTTGGAGAATTCTTTCTACAAGTCTTAAGTCGGATTTCTTCATGACTCCAATTGGAAGTATGGATGAAGAACCGTAATTATTGGGCATCTGTAATAGCTCGGCCGATGTTTCCATTCCTAGCGACCATGGTATGATGATGATATTGATATCATCGGCCTCAACACTCGCGCCGTCAGTTCTGCTTTCTCCAGACTGGACAAAGAAGCAAAGCAAATGGGTGTGGCAGTGAACGAGGGCAAGACGAAATATCTCCTGTCATCAAACAAACAGTCATCGCACTCGCGACTAGGCTCTCACGTCACTGTTGACAGTCATAACTTTGAAGTCGTAGATAATTTCGTCTATCTTGGAACAAGCGTAAACACCACCAACAATGTCAGCTTGGAAATCCAACGTAGGATAACTCTTGCCAACAGGTGCTACTTCAGACTGAGTGGGCAATTGAGAAGCAAAGTCCTCTCTCGACAAACAAAAACCAAACTCTATAAGTCACTTATAATACCCGTCCTGCTATATGGTGCTGAGGCTTGGACGATGACAACAACTGATGAGTCGACGTTGCGAGTTTTCGAGAGAAAAGTTCTGCCATAGAATTATGGTCCTTTGCGCGTTGGCCACGGCGAATATCGCATCCGATGGAACGATGAGCTGTGCGAGATATATGACGACATTGACATAGTTCAGCGAATTAAAAGACAGCGGCTACGCTGGCTAGGTCATGTTGTCCGAATGGACGAAAACGCTCCAGCTCTGAAAGTATTCGACACTGTACCCGCCGGGGGAAGCAGAGGAAGGGGAAGACCTCCACTCCGTTTTAAGGACCAGGTGGAGAAGGACCTGTAAAGAAGAAACGACTCTGTTGTTAACTCGGCTATAATCGCGTAAGCGTTGTCTACGCCAATTAAGAAGAAGAAGAAGACCATGGCGACCAATGGTAACTTTCGCATCGGACCATCTGCCCATAATTATCTCGATTGAGAAACCTTCCGACTTTATTCGTGTGGCCAACCGCACCTTCGTTAAGTTTAACTAAGCTAATTGGGTCGGCTTCACAAAATTTAATGAGAGCATCTTCACCGGACTACCTATTCCTATGGACGTATTCGTTAGCGAATGTCAATTCTGCAAGCGATCACCGCTGCTACCGCTCGTTTCACGCCGGTTGGAAGAATCGAAAGAAAATGGTAAACCAACATTAGCGGACAATTTGGAGAGAGCGCTTGAAGTTTTGTAACTTCTCCACCGGTTTGAGTAAACTTTGGGCTTTATTTAAGCCGTAGAGACATGATGGTCGAGTTTAAAACCAATTCAATGACCATACCTCTTTGGACTCGAAGAAGTGCGCGAGCTATCTTAGGCGGCAATTTACACTGCATCTCTTGGTAGACAAAGCTATCCGACTAGTCAGCAAAATGCCAAAAAATTCAGAGTATCATCAACAAGGCAAAATCATCCAAATGCATTGGCTTGATGGAATTATCATGTTGATGCTAAAGCCGCTAGGCTCGATAGGAGTAGTTTTCTCATCAAGGTCCTCAACCTGTCAAATACCCGATGTGGGGAAAAGAAAAACAAAGAGTAGTTCTATCGTCCGATAACTCTCCTCTCGCCAGTGGTGCAGACACTTGAAGCTTTGCTACTCCCGGTCTTCATGCACCATCGGAGCCTAGCAAACCACTAGCATAGCTTCCGAAAAGTGCACAGCTCCACTACAGCACTTAACGTCATAAAGGCCTAGATAGCTCATGTCCACAACCAAAAACCAACCAGCGAGCGGGACCTCCTCGTAGCGTAGCACATCGAAAAATGTACGCTTCCTCCAGGACTAAAAAGGTGGACTATGAAGTACTTGAGCGGTCGACAATAATCCGTACTGTTTCGCGGTAAAAACTCTAAACTAAGAAGTATCAAACAAGCAGTTCCGCAGGGTGGTGTTCGCAACAAAATTCTCAATGAACTCCTCTCCTAGAAGCATCAATAGGTCATTCCTCAACTACGTCGACGACATAAAACAATACGCCGACCATATTTCGGACTCAACTAACTTTTCATATACACTGACTGCCATTGATAGTGGAGCTATTAACATACTCCTTATCAGCGAAAGCCATACTTGGAGTTAAACAAGCACACATTGCAGACGAAGAGCACGAGTTGTTGCGAGCGACGAGATTGACTCTTGCGCAGCTTCGTTCTGGATACTGTATCAGATTAAACGCCTACTTACACAGAATCGATCCTGATATATCAAACATTTGTCCAGCGTACAACGAGACCCCACATGACATGGCTAGTGCACACCTATTTAACCCTACTCATCTGGCACTCTAAATAAGGTCTAATAAGTTAAGTCTATGTAATGGTAGTTTTAATATTTCGAAAACTCAGCAATGCAGATTTCTTCAATTAAAATCTGCCACTAAAATGGTTAAGTTTTCGTTAGCTCAACCTAGCCGAGCTCGGCAAACAGTCAAGCTAACACGGCCTAGGAACTTAGAAAAAGTTTTTGAATTTAAACTTCCAACTTAGCCAAGTTTCGCGCATCACAACATGCTTCAGTGCTCATATTTTTATGCACGCAGCTGTATTTAAGTAAAGCAAAACTCAAAATTTATAAAGTCGCAGAGATAATATAACCTCACTTTTATTTTCATTTTATGGTGATGTTTTTGGCCAACAATTTTAAACAGACATACTACAGCGCAGCATTACAACCTCTTCCGACCACAGCAGCCCACCAAAATAATGACGAGTACTTTGCTGTGCCGCAAGCGACATAGCTATGAGTTAGCAACCGATGTAAACTTTAGTCCTTTAGTGGCACATTTTGACGCTGACAACTAATTTAGCACAATTATACTTAAAAGTTTTGTTAATTTGCGTACAAATGCTTTGTCGGACAATTGTTTGCTGTTCTATCATTTGGGTTTATGCCTCTGGTGTGTACGGTGCGAACTGCTAATAGTTTTAATTATGACAGCTACGAAAAGTTTTGAGTGATATTACTGTGAAATGTGTGGTCATGCTTAAAGTTTTGACTTGAAAAATTTTATATACATATGTATGTATGCGTAGATACATTTTTTTGAAAAGATTTTTGAGTATTATTTATTATTAATTTTAATGCATTTATCGTAAAGCTTTCGATGGTGTCCTTTAGCGCTTCCTTTTCAGCCCCTGTTACTTTCGCTTTTGTTGTAAGTGAGTTGTGGTCTCTAATCTCTATCCTGCCTTTGATTTAAGGTCGGCTACAGTTGCAGATTCTTTAAGGGTGGTCTTGAGTGCTTCGCAGAAGCTGGCTTTCGTTGACTATGCCTTCTCCAGCTCTAATAGTAGGGCCTCGGCTCTTGTTTTGTGGATTCCTTTGATCTTCACCTCTGATTCTTTAAGATCTAACTTGGTACGGATATCCTTAAGGACTTCGGCCAAGCTATTCCACTCTGCTGACTTTATGACTGAGGTCTCTGATTGTCGTTTGGGCCTATTATTGCTCACTGACCGGCAGCTATATTCCTCACTTGTTGTCTCTCTTTTGCGCTTCCTCCACCATTCCTTCGTTTGCGTGGGACTTTCT